GAGGCCGTGTCCTGAAGCCAAGCTGCCGTTGATGATTGATGCAAGGATGGCGTCCGGGTTTCGCAGCCACAGAAGCTGCCGGAAGCACTACTGGGGAAGACCCTCTTCCCTCACGCTGCTCTGCCGGATTAGTTGATTAGTTTCAACGGCTTGCCTCGGCCACTTCGGCAGCAGGAAAGTCATCTGCCGGGAAAGTAAGTGGTAACATCCTGCGAAGCTACATCGACAGGCATCTAGCAGCTTGCAGAGCCCGAGGTCTGCTTCAAGAACATGACCCTGCACGTCAATTTGGGCGCCCCACTTGTGCCGCTTGGCGAGTCAGTTGGCATCTGAGCATTTTTTTTTACTGGGCTCCTGACATGGGCCAATGCTTTCGAGACCGTACCATGGGATTCCTGCTGCATGGCGTGATCACATGCTTTTCTGCCCAGAGAGCAATAATGATTTCAATAATGGTCATACATGCGCAGTCGCAAGTGTACCATTGCCACTGTCCTAGGCGTAGAGATGGCCCATCTATTCAAAGTCACGATGCAGGAAAGATTGTCAAAAGAAAGTGCTGCCATGCGCTTGACCGCAATGTTCAAGAGCATTATCGGCTGTGGGTCGACAATGTAAGTAAGCCAAGCTTGTTGCATTCTTTGTGATTCGCTTCGCGATCTACAGATATTCTGCTCCAACTTTTCAATCGCTCGGCAGGCCTCTGCCCTTCAAGTGCCTTGGAGTCGCGGAAGCACCAGCCGTTGACGCGGTGGCCCCGACGAAGCCACAGGCAGAACGGGCCGCAGTCCGTTGAATTCAGGGTTGCAGGCAATTTGTTGGGATTTCTGGCTCCCGTCAGCGACTGCACAGCTGTTTGTTTGCAATGCAGCCACGGGAGAGCTTGAAATCCAAGACTAGGCAGACTCCGCAGGTTCTTCCTAGGGACCGCGCACTTCTCACGCGAATCATGTTTAGCTGCTGACAGAAATTGGACATGCTGCTGCTCGAGCCATGACTTCATATGACTTCCCACAAGTCGCCTATAGTCGCCTCTCTGAGTGAGGTGCATACTGTTTATGCTCTCTGCAAACATTGCAACCCCAGTCATGAAATTCTTGGGCCGCATCCGGCATCAGGATGACAAGTTTGAGGTCCTGTTCCCAGTTGCGGTTCCTGATGAAGGCTGGATCACAGCTTTGGGCCAGGAAGTTGTGACGATCTGGTTTGAAACATGTCTAGAGTCTAGAGGATTCAATAAGAGGGTGACATGCTGTGAAGCCCTTCTGAAAGATCGTCTTAACTGGCGGGCGAAACTGAAATTAAATTCGTGCGAGCAGATACAGCAAGCTCATCAACACAGAGTCGCTATGGCATGTTACCTGTGTGCACAACAGCTCCCACTCACTCCACTCGCGGGTTTTGGCATTTTGTAGGAGTTGCATGACATCGCTTGGAGCCTGGAAGCTCTGGTCAGAGTGGACCTTAGGATGCAAGGTTGGAATTCAGAAACGTAACTGTATTCTCCCATGCGGACATGGAGCCTAATTTGGAGCCCTGAGCCCAATGCTGAAAGACCGGCACAAGGCACCTTCGACTGGCTAGATGATTTCTTGGCCAAGAACCCCAAGTTCGTAGAGCACCATGGCTGGTATAAGATACTTGAGGCTTTGGAAGCATTCGGTGGAGATGGTGAAAGCTGGGGGTGGCGAGCTTCCGTCTTAGGATGCCAGGGGGTCAGAATTTGAGATCGACAAAACAGTCGAGGCACGTCAATCAATGCGAAGCCAAAACGTGTGAGTGTTATATTCTGCAAGTGATTTGTCAATGACTCTTTGCCAGATGATGCGACTGTTGACTGGCCGAAAGCATGGGGGTCGTCAAATACCGGTGCTCCGTAAGAAGGGTGCCCGGAACTATCCGGGATTTCTCTTGAAGCTCAGGTTGTCTGACCGAGCCATTGTCAAGTGGGCCGAAAAGAGTGGTGCCTCACCTGGTTTGGACTCCAGTTTTTCCAGGGCTTTTTTCCAATAAAAGTGACATGTGTTAAGGCTAGTGCCCCAATTAAGTGTTTGTGCCAAGGGGATTTTGAGAGAGTCGGAACTGCATTCACAGCGAGTTGGCCGCGATGAAACACAAGGATCAAGAGATGCGGATTGGCAGAGTTGACTTGACAAGTCTGACACAACTACAGGAATGGTGACACTTGCCCTCCCCTACAGCAGCACTGCGCTCCGTAGAGATTGCAGCTCTTCGCCTACCCCGCATGGACGGTTTGTTAGTCTCGCATCGCACTGCTCGTAAAACCGGTCATTGCAACAAGGCGAGTAGAAAGACGGCAACTTGAATGGAAGGGTATGGAAACATGACAGTCCAAATCCAAACAGTGCTTCGGGCACTTCTTGCACAGAGGCTTTCACTGCAGCGAGGGAAGTGCATGGAAGCATCCTGGCATATCAGTGGGGCTTTCTTGCCATAAGCTGGCTGCAGGCCGTTCAAAATTTGAGACAGTTGTGGTCGCGTATTTAGGTTGCACGAACAGAAACACCAATCACACGCGGGGGCTGCAAAGCTATCCATGCCAAATGCCACATGCGAATCCAGGCTTGCCCGCTGTAGCGGCATTTAATTCGGGCCACATTGTGAGCAATGCAGCTGATATGATGGACGTGATGTCTGACATTCCCACAGAGCTTTGAGATTCCTCCTCACAAGAGGCACAGCAACGACAAACCCGACGTTCAGCTCCCTGGCATGCATCGGAGCAGCCTTTACTATTGAACAGGCTTCAAATATCTTTCAATGGGTTGCAAGGCGAACTGTGAACTTTTCGAGACATTCTCACTCCGCAGATTGAAGGATTTCGAGCGCTTTCGGCAGTATTTTCGAGCTTGTGGAACTTTGGTTCCAGCGTGCAAAGGTTTCGCGTGCCGTACCTGGACGACTTCTCCGCTCGGCGGGTAGTCCAGGCAGCACGCAAGGATTTTCACGCCTGAACGGCGAAAACAGTAGTGAAAGCCAGCTAGCTCAAAACGCAAGCATGCATGGTGCATGGCACGGTCTTCCCAAGATTCGTTGAGCAAGCCTTGGCACGCCGCACAATTCAGAGAGCGTTTCAACGCACGCTTTGCCTTTGACGGGTGATGTGCGGAGAAGCTTGCCATTCCGATTCCTCAGCACGTCGTGCACAAGCACAACGTCTTAGCATCATTCATAGTTGTACTCTGGTCGTAGAGAACCGGAAGGATTTAGAGAGCTGGACAGAGTGAAGTACGTAACAGACTTGACATTTGCATAGGCCCTGACGCGGCCTTACAAGTAAACACAGGTCAGGAACTTTGCTTAGGCAGTAGGCCTTCTGAACCTGCGGCCAGCTGTTGCAAACTCGCAGGCGGTGGCGCCGATGCAGCCGAGGAACTATGTCGCAGATGCCTCAGGAAGGCCTCTGTTAAGGCTTGGATAACGGGTCGCACTCCGCCAACATGCTGTGGTTTGAGGTTATGGAGGTGAAGGCAAACCTCGTCAAGGAGGACTGGTTGCAGAGCATGTCGCGCAAGCACAGGTGCTTCAAACGTCTTCCCTAGAAGTGCATGGGCAGCGCGAGATACAACATTGCTCATCTGCATCAGTCCTTGCTCAGCACTTCCTGGCGCAAAAAAGGATGATGCCTGAAATTGCAAGGAGTAGGGTCCTTATCGAGAGGAGCGGGAGCAGCTCCTGAAGCGCTTCTCAGATGCCTGCTACAAGACAGTGGCACAGGTTCGGGCACAAACAAGCTCGTCGGTTTGTAGCGCTTCCAGGAACCCACGTATAGTTGCACGTCCAGTTTAGCTTTTTCGCTTAACAGAGTGGTGCTTGTGTATGGTTACTAAGCATCGCTTGTGTGTGGTGACTGTGCATCTAAGCATCAGGATGCATTCGTTATTGTCCGGAGTTCCAGTCTGAATTGCGGAGAGTGATTGGGACAACTGGGAGTCTGGGAGGTTGTGATGGGAGAGCCTCCTGCGGACTTCAAGGAGAAGGCACGCCACCCCCTGTCTGAGCTGTAGAGCGAAAGGCATGAAGCTAATGACATCTGACCCCAAGACGGGTCGATGTGCCAAGCTTAAACTTACAGGTCCACAAGGAGCTGCTGGTGGAGAAGCAGGAGAAGGTGACGCAGGAATGGAAAAGGAGGAAGGTAGAGAAAGAACAGGACCCGAGCTGCTGAGTGGTGTAGCGAGCTTTGACTTTCAATCAGGGTTGGGGCAGACGCAAGCACCTCAACATGCAGCAAACCCTGCAGGAGAGGATTGCTCGGAAGCGACAGAAGGAGCTTGAGGAGGCTCTCCTTGAACTGCGATCTGCCAAAAAGAAGTTTGTGTTTCCAAATGCCTTGATTGACGGGACCTTGACAGTCTGCTAATGTTTCGCTTAGTCTTTGCTCCTGCCACTTGCAGATGTCGCCACTTAAGAGTCACAGTCATGTGGCTGTGCACTGAAGCAGCTGATAGCAGCTGCAACCCTATCTGTCTGTGAAGGCCAAGAGGCGCGCAGAGGAGGAGGCCAAGAAGCGACTTGAGGAGGGCACGTTTTGTTCGGCATCTGCCTCCTTCAGCAGCGCCGGTCATGAAGATTGCTTAAGGTGCTGATGCTGTGTGCTGTGGGCATTACCTGTCATGATAGCGGTACCGTGAGGAGATTGAACGAGAAAATGCTGCTGCTGCAGCTGCTGCAGCCGCTGCAGCTGCTGTGGATCCTGGGAGAAATGAAAGAAGTTAGTGCGTGGTGCAGTGGTGCATGGCTGATGACCATACTAGAGAACTTTGACGTTAGGTTTTTCGGCTGCTCATTCAGCTTTGCTTCTCAAAATCCCAGCGACACTTGCTGAATGCCAAAGGAGGCTGCAGCTGCAGCGGCGGCAGAGGCTGGCGAGACTGAGATGAAGCAGGCACGGGGGACTGATCACCGCTCAGGAAGTGTCAGCGTTCAGACTTGGGACTTCGCAGCTCTTGTGCATCAGTCAGGGCCATCCAACTGTCATGAGCACCTTCTCGGCCATACCTCTTGACTCCGTGGCTGAGAGGGTTGCTGACCCTTGGGCCTTAGGCTATGAAGTTAAGATTCACGCGCGAGGATACCACAGCTGACGTGAAGATGGAGCCGCGCCTGGGCAGCTTTGAGGTTGCTATGTGGAGAGAGTGTCAAGAGGGAGACAAGGCATACAAGGCTTAAAGGTCGTAGAAGGCATTAACAGGATGTTGTGCTGCCTTCGAGGTCCGCTTTTGGTGGCACAATAACCGCTCCGGTCAAAGTTGCGTGGGGGATGACGGCTGCAATTGCACGTTCATTCTCTTGAGAACGTTCGGGCAGAGGGGGCTGCTGGATTTCTGATGCGTTCTCATGGAAAATCCCAAGAGGGCAGACAACCGGTGGTCATCCGGCCTCACAAGCAGCAACTTCAACCCGCAGATGTTGGATGGCTTTAATTAAAATAATTCGTCAGCGATGTCAGGACGGATCCTGCGAAGGCGGAGGGCAGCACAGATGCGAAGACGGAGGAGCTTCAGCGACTGAAGGTGGACTGTAGGTGTTGGGGCCTGTTCGCCCACGTTATCAGAAAGCAGGGTGGAACGCGATGCTGCATCGTGCCATTTTATGGTAGTAGTAGGCTCCTGTAAATCATCGATTTTCGTCGGCTGGGTCATCAGTGTAGGTCTGCACCTGACAGCCTAGGGCTCAGGCTTGGGGTTTGGAGGACATGTGTCCGCCATACCGATTATCTTCCCAGTCAACTCTTGTTTACTGAGCCCATGCCAGCCACAGCAGTCCGAAGGCGGTAGCACCAAGCAGTTCAGTCTTCACGAAACGTCTGGGATTGGTGAATTCCGACGCTGTTATGGCGAACCGTCATTTACATCCCAGCTGCGTTCAAGGACGCACCCATGCAAGAAAAGCCGGAGGTAAAGGAGGAGGTGAAGGACGAGGTGAAGCAAGAGGTGAAAGAGGAAGTGAAGGCGGAGGTGAAGGCGGGGACTTCTGCTGGATGTGTCTAGCCCAGGTGAAGGCAGTTGACCTTGCCCACAGTTGCAAGATTCTGCAAGATACCCAGGAGGAGCCCAAAGTGGAGGAAGAACCAGAGGACATCCTGGGCTTTCTTCGACCCTTCTACAGTCCAATAGGAGGGCCGGACTTGTTTGGATTTCTGGTGGCCCTATCACAGATCATTCTACCCAATATGCCTGAAAGCCATACGCATGCTCAAGCTGTTGCTGAGTGAGAGACATGTTTTGTGGGCGGTTCCTGACTTCCAACACTGTAAGTCAACGCGTAGCTCAAGCCAACAAGTTGTAATGTATTGGCGCAGTTCTGTAGGCCTTACGGGCAGAAAGTTGAGCGTTCAGAGCACCGGCTCCCTCCCATGCTGCGAGTTTTTTTGGCTTCGGGTCGAGAGCTGGCTGCCCTGTCAGCCAACGACTTGCAGGCTGGTGCAGAGGGCCTCAGCAGCGTGCTGAAGCTGAAAGAATATCTTTCTGGGCTGACTGGGCATCCCCGCTTCCGGCAGCGCGTGCTGTGCGGTAACCGCCAGATGGGGGAAGATGAGTCCTTGGAGTTGCCATTGTCCGTGCAGCTGGTTGTCGTGAGTTTTCGTGATGCTAGCGAAGCGCAGATGTTTCAGCTGCAACACGCAGTCTTTGCCGACAAAGTGGCAGTTGTTGAGGAGTTGCTGAGTGTGCCTTTGGATCCTAACATGTGTGTTGCAACTCCCAGTCCAAGAGCCCTGCTGCATTTGGCGGCCCATGCTGGCAGCCTCCATTCTGCAAAGCTGTTGCTTGAGGCCAGCGCGGACAAAGAGGGGCGCATGCCAGATGGCTTCACACCGTTGCACTGCGCGTGCTTCTCGGGTCACCTAGACTTTGCTCGCTGGCTCCTCGATGCTGGCGTGGACAGATTCAAAACCAACCAGAACGGCCACACGCCCTTGTTTCTTGCTTGCGCAATGGGTCACCTGGAAGTTGTGCGTTCTCTTTTCGAGGCTGGGGGCAGCAAGGACGAACCGGCAGCTGACGGTTGCAGCCTGCTGCACATTGCATGCTACTCTGGGCACACTCACGTGGCACGATTTTTGGTGCAAGCTGGTGCTGACAAGGAAGCGGCAACTAGGGTAGGCACAACACCTTTGCATGCAGCATGTGCCGGCGGCAGATTACGGGTCGTGCGCTACTTGGTGCAGGCAAGATCGAGGACAGACGCTGAAGACAATTTCGGCCTGACGCCGTTGCACCTAGCTTGCTTGGAAGGCAAGCTGGCGGTGGTGCGATACTTCGTGGAGTCTCTTCGCCTTCAGAACATGCTGGCTCGCGACGGGTCGTCACCCCTGAATATTGCTTGCCGTGCCGCAACATTGGACGTGGTGTGCTACCTCATCTCTGCCCGCGCAGACATCAATCATCTGAACTCAAGTAGGGAGACGCCCTTGAATGCTGCAAGCAGGCACGGGCATCTGGAAGTGGTGCGTTGCCTCCTGCTCGCGGGCGCAGACGCGGGCCGGGCCCCTGGCAGGTGCACGCCTATCGCCGCAGCGCTAGGTGCTGGACATCTCGAGGTCGCCAGGCTCCTGGGCGAAGCCCAGGCCGCACCAAAGCGACGAAGATTGACCTTCAAGCAGCCTGGCAGCCAAAGCTGAGCGTCAGGTGCGGCGCTCCAAAGCACAAACTACGATGAGGCACTCAACCCCGAAGGCTCGTTTTCTTCGGTAAGCGCTTTTGTGCCAAATAGCGATTGGCGCCTGAAGGTTCAAGGGAATAAGCTACGATGACACATGTGGATTCCAAGCTGCAATGCCGGGAAACACAAGATCGCTGCAAATATTTTCTAATTAGCAATATTAGCATCAGTTCAAGAAGAGTTGACTGTTTCCTGGTTCGGCCCGCTTTGCCAAACAATTCGCAACAGGGGTCAGCTGGCACACATCCTATGATCATCCATGACCCGACTTCAACACCTCTCAAGGGACGGCCGATGCAAGTTGCGAGGAGTCTGAGGAGCCATGCCCGGTGGCAGAGCTCGACGAGACAGACAAGGCTTGGGATTAAACTTCCGAGTCCCGTTATGAGTCCGCATGCTGGGTGCCGAGCATGAATTGCAGCATCCCGCATGGCAAGAGGCAACGTGGTTCAAGAAGAAGGCCGTGCATCTCGCCAGCATCCACATGTGTTCGATTGAACGTTGATGTCAAGGATCCTCTATGCAGTCATGAAGGTCATTTCCTGCTCTGGGTGGAAGGTTTTGCATGTGCTGTGGTAGTTTGGTGTCTCGCGATGACCAAGGGGTGACCTGACATCATGGGCCTTTGCAGGACACGTGCTGGATTCTGAGACTTGATGTTGAACCCTATCGCTTGTGAGCTTGCTTCTCATCCTGCCACATAAGCAGCCTTTGTTGGAAGGACACGCCCTTTGGAGCTTGGGAGTGCGGAGCTTCAAAGTTAGCATGCGCTGAATGCCCTGGCAGGAAGTTTCACCAAGTTCAGCATCCCCGAAAAAGAGGAGGCTCGTCTGATAGGTGATCTGATGGCCTGGATAGCGAAGAGGATCATCCGCTGCAATCAAACCGTTCATAGACGACCATTTTATTTTACAGGGGTCCATCAGCAGATGCTGTGATATCGCCGAGATGATATTGTGAAGTCCTGGCTTCAAAAATTAAGACTCACGGCCTTTCTCGGCCGGTTGCCAGATGGGTCCTTCGTCAGATTTGGGGCTGTTGAGACGTGGTCAGCATATGGGGCATCATGTGTTGGTGATTTCATTTCGCAATCCATGGATTGAACTGCCATCCCCCAACATGCGAGATCCCTCCAAACCATCTACCCCTCTGGAAGGGCTTTGCTGACGTCCGATACAGCTGGGCTGCAGAGCCTGCTGCAAAGGACTACTTGGCGCACCATGCAAGCATTGTCCCCGTGGGGCTCTTTTGAAGGGCGCAGTGAATTTAGGGTGCAATCCCAACAGGGAGGATCTGTTTTTCATGTGAATCGGGTATGCCCGGATTTCCGGCATCGTATTGTAGGCATGTGATATCCCGGCTTGCCGAAACCAAGGCAGTTCCTCCGCAAAAGCTGCTCGGCAGGATGCACGTCAGTACCGTTTTGCCGTTGAGACACCAGCCCAAAAGCATTTGAAGCGCGCTGAGCCTCTGAACTCATCGCAGTGCTCACCCAACGAGATGTTTCAAAACAGCTTGCCTTGGGAACGAAAGCTTGGACCAGGCAAGATCACGACCAAAATCGAAGACCTGGCACCTGGTGAGTGGCCGCTTGCCTCATTTACTGGCGCACATGATTGGTGGAGAGCATTGGAGGGGCGAGTTTGTCGGTACCATGCTGAGCAGCGCCGGTTCAGAAAAGTATGCTTAACATCGACATCTGGAAGTAATGAGGCTTGAATCCTTTGGCTAGCGGCTAGCAGTCCCTGGCAAGAGGTATACTGACGTTTCAAGGCTGCTCATTGTTGTGCGGGAGGTGCGAGCCATTGTCAAGCTGTCAAGCTCTCCCTCCCACCTTGCCTATCTAGAAGAGCAATGTTCAAGCTCGCAGCATTCTTCAGCACCGTGGCCCTTTCGCTCAGGCGCCTTTAGGCCCTTCAGAGTCAATATGACTGAGGTTCAAGACCAAGCTCAGCGAGTGGCAGGGAATTTTCGAGGGGTGGAAGGCCAAACAGAGAGAGCTCCCAGGCCGCATGATGTCACTTTGGATCTTTGGGCGACGCCGAAAAACAGTGCCTATTTCTGCCTGGTCAGTGCGAAGTTTCAGGATAAGGCCCCAAGACTTCGAGGTAAGATGTCTTCTTGGCCCAAGTGCTGACACAGGTAAACATGGCGCATTCCAGCAAGCAGCAGATTCCAGCATTCAGGAATTCAATAGGATGTTGTGCAGCGAGCTCTGGATTCTCTGGATCTACTCTGGCAAGCCAAACGCCGACGACTTCAGGGCCGGCAATGCTGCGATGTCTAATGATTATGCGCTCGATTTCTTCAGACCTGGAACCCTGCCCGGAGATTTGAGCTCCTGTGCCGCCAGCGCAAGGATTGTTTCTCTGTCTATGAGTAACGAGACCTTGCAGTACAATCAGCAAGAAAGGGGACGATGGGATGTATACTTGCATACCCTATCCACCCTCCAGTGCCCAAGGTTTCAGATGAGGCCACCCCCGCCGCCGCCCTCCGAGCCTCCTGCAGAGGCCTTTTCTCTGATATCCCATGCAAGCTGCAAGCTACAGGTACGTTCATGTCTGCAGAAGACGTTGCACCATAAAGACATAGGCAGACTCCGGACCTCTGATAATTCAACTCCCAGCAAAATCGGAGGCGGCACCCGCATCGGAAGTGCCCATGGCGGCTGAAGCTGAGCCAGAGTCGCTTCTCGGTCGCTTTTGATTTCTCCCAGAAGCCATAAGCAGAGAGGTCGAGACGCAGGGCTTGGGGCCACATGTGTGAGGGTGACGCGCTTGGAGTGACATGGCATGTAGTTCAGCTCTCATTGCTGTGTTGACAACGGTGATTTGTGCACGTTTGTGCGCAACACTCTGCAGTCATGGCTTGAAAGCCAGGCAAGCAAAAATTCAAACAGTAGTTCGAGCTTGGTAGATTCTCTTCTGTTTGTGTTTTCATTGTGCAAGCCCTTGTTTGTTCGCACGCCAAGGGCGACACCCGCTGCAGCCGAGGGCGGAGAGGGCCAGCCAAGTGGTGAGGCTCGGTCCTTGCAAGTGTGTTAAGTGCTGTGTGCCAGGATCAGTCGGCAGCAGCAGTACCTGTCTTATGAGATCGAAGACTGGCCCCGATACTCTCGGGAAGCTGTTGGGTGCATCCAGATTTCCAGCTGGGCATCCGTCACGGTTCACGCTTCAAGCCGAGAAAGTTTATCAGAATCCGAGTGTGCTGAATCATCATTGCTGACATTACTTACTCTCAAGCATCATGTTGCAGTTGAGCAAAGGCCACAGCACCGGCATGTAGACGTTGAAATCCTTGCGCTGTGGTCTGTCAGCAATCTGGCCAGCCTTGCTCGGGCTTCTGTCACAGGTCAGGCTTCGAAGACGGTGCAATATGTAAATACCAAGGCTGAGTCCCCAGAAACCTTTCCCATTTGGGGGTTCTTTCTACGAATCACATCCCCAGCCCTACCCCAGTGCCTTCTCCAATGAAGCTTGAGATCACCAACGAGACAAAGTTTTTTTCCATTCAACTCTCATGAGGCAGAGAGGCTGTGGGTGCCGCGCATATTCGCAAGACAAGAGCTCTGCTTGCAGCTTTGCCGCCAGGAAAACAAGCAGCCCCATGCGGCAACTAAAGCTCGCAAACCGTCAGCAACAGCGACCAAGCGTAGTGCCACCTCAAGCTTGAAAGGTGCCAGCGCCTCCTGCGGCAGCGCCAGTCCCGCCGCCCCCTGTAGAGTCAACGGAGGCGCCAGCAGAAGCCCCGAAGGAGGCTGCCAAGGCGCCCAGCAGGGAAACAGAGTTTTGTAGGTGTTTGATGTAAGTATGGATATAATGGGGCATTTGACGGCGCTAGTGGTACCATCGGGGTTGATTACTGTCTTGTGTCGGCTGACCGCCCGGTACTTAGACTTATGGCTGATGCTAAAGCAGGAAGCTCTTTCCGCTGCCACAACGCAGTGCCATCCTTACGTTCTACAATCTTGGACATGAATCTCCGGTTGGATGGCCCCAGGCCCTGGCTCCAAAGCTTTACACTGTCTGTTTCGTAGAAGTTTGGAATTAAAGAATTAGCGTACACCTGCTACATCCAGCCTTATGAAACTTCTGAACCTTCCTCGGTGTTGTGCAGCTCTTGAGGCACCCGAGAAGCCAATCCATGAGGCCATTCCCCGCGGGAAGGGACATACGGAGTTGGTTGATGTGGGGTGTTTTTCCGCAATCTTCATTGTTTGGGGACTTATCCTCGCTCTGTGGACAGCTTAAATCACCGAACTTGGCAGATGGTACTCTCATGTCAGACCATGGGTGCTGCTATGAATGCCAGATTCAGAGCCGTGTTTGTTCGGTGTGTGTGCCGGCCTTGTTTGTGGATGAAGCGGAGATCATGAAGGTGGGGTTGAGGTTCCCCACGTCGTAGTTCGCAACCATGGCTGCAGGTGGACGTCATGTCAGTGGAGGACATTTGCAATGTGCGCCGCTGGATGCAACGAAGTGAGGGTGTTTAAGTTGATCTAGCAAGGAAACAAGTTTGACGCTGAATTAGGTGCAGATCTGGTTTTGCTGGGCAGCTTGTCATGCCTGTCCCGGATTCATAGCCGTAACCGCTTGACTTTGATTGGAAACCTGTGTCGCAAGTTCTGTGGGCAGGGCAAGAATCAAGCCTTTCTGAGTTACCAGCAGTCCGCACCCCAGGAAGTGACACGCCGCTGTTTGCCCTCTTTTCCTTTGAGGACTGCTGCCCATGAAGATTGCACAAGCAATGTAGCTCAAAACTTATATCATAAGGTATCTTGTGCGCTGGGGTTATGCTTCACAGCCCAACTTTCCGCAAGCAGCGGGGCGCAGTCATCTTTGGACCACACTATGGATGCTGTTCTTCCATAGCTGAGGACGTCTTGCGGCAAGTTAAGTTCGCAACCCATGCGTGCACACACTGTTCCTTAAGTGTCGGAACCCGGATTGCCGTTCG